GGGCAGTAAAAAGTCACAGACAAGCGATTTCTTTTATGAAACCAACTCCAAAAAAAACCCCAAATTATCTGATATCCATTAATGATTGGCTTTAAAAAGTGTATAATTACCGAGAATACAATAATAAAACATGCATTTAGAATTCGCAATCTCATTTTTTTCTTATATCATTTCCATTCAACTGTAAAATTACAGTTTACATATTTTTCCCCACATCACACAGCTAATGTGCTGATGTCATAACAAGGTTTGAGGGAGGCACATCTCACACAATCGGGTGACAACCCAGTCATCACACTCAGGAAGCACAAAAGGATCAACACATTTTAAAAGCTCAGGCAATTAAAAAAGAAACAGTATAATTCAGAACCTAACTGGAGATTCAGACCTGAAATGAGTCAAAAGGGACACAGTCACGACCCTTCCTTTTTTCACTAAAATAACATGTTACTTTAGGTCTAGATTTAAACATGGTAGGACATCCTCTATTAACATAAAAGACAGTTTACTTTTTACATTGAAGTAACTATATTAAGCGTTTTGNCCGAGAGACTTGGACATCTTTTCTCCTTTTTCTCCAAGGGTAAAACCATGAACAACCACTGTCCTAAGAAAACAAATCAGCTATTTTAATGATAAACACTATTATATTCATCTTTTTGAAGATGACTTATAGCTTAAAAAGTGCATCTTAGTTTGACACAAAAATAGGATTTTTCTTGACAGACTACGGATAAAAGTTTTTCTTGAAAGTGTAATTCTCAGCAGCTTATTTATCATGATCATTTCACAGTAAACTATTTAAACACAGGAAAACTTCAGATGTTTTCATTCACTAAACAAATCATTTACTGAGCTTGTTATATGCTGATTTTGATCACTAAAACCAACTAGGAAATAGTACATCTTTAAAAAGGCAGATTATCACCTCAAAATTATCTGCAAAAAGAAAATTTGAGAAAAATACTGTCTGCTGTTCTACGGGTTTCAAAAAGCATGTTACATAGAAAACACACATGTAAATTATTCTGAGATGGGTTTTCATTGTAAGATAGCAAAAATTTAAAGCTATTTAAGAATCCCTCTGATTAGAACTTCTGCCCACACATTTGAATAAGGAAAAGCAATTATGTGTATTAAATACAAATCCCTAATNAATTGTCATGATAACTCTACTAAAGGTAGGTATAATTATCCCCATTCTACAAATGAGGAAAATGAGGCAGAGAGGTTTTAGAACTTGCCCAAGGTCACACAGATAGTGAGCAGTAGACTTGGATTCTGAATCTAGACAATTCTAGAGTGCATGCTCTTAATTAAGAAGTCACACGACTTGAATGCCTGATCTTGATAATCAAACAAACAAAAAAAGGAATGTCTTTTTTTTTTTTTGTCTTTTTCCGTGTCCGGCAACGGATCGCAACCCTCAGTGTCGCCCCCGCACCGGACCGGAACCGGCAACGGGACTGCAACCCTCGGTGTTGCTCCCACGCCTCGCTCAGCCAGTGAGCGGGAACCAGTCTGCATGTGGGATCCGAACCCTCGGGCGGGAGCGCCACCGCGCTTCCCAAGCGGCACACCATCCAGTGCGCCACCGGGCCGGCCCCAAAAAGGAATGTCTTATAAAGGTCAAATTATTAACTTCCAGTTTGGCAATGACCCAGTCAAAAGGTGGGCGAACAATAAAAAAGCTACGTGAATAATTGTCTCAAACTTGTTGGGACATATATATATAAGCAAATTTGAGAGCTACTTTAGCATTTAACAGTAAACAACAGTTAATTCAACAGTTAATAAAGAGATAAGAGACCATTTGGCAAACCTCATAAGCAACAATCATTTCAGACAAGAATCATCAAGGATGCTTAACTACTAGGTGAAAATTGAGAAAACAGAGTATTTCCACAGTCTTAAATTATCTGCCTATAAGATTATTAATAACAATTACTAAGGGGCAGTGGGCGGATAACTTTACAATAGAGAAAACTGGCAGACACAATCTTAACCAAGTGATCAAAGTTAATCACCACCAGTAATGGAACAGAAAGAGATCACGTGACTTCTGATATGGTGCACTGATGCTTCTGTGATATTCCTGCCAAAAATGCATAACCTAAATCTAATCATGAGGACACATCACACAAACCCAGACAGATGGACATCTATAGAATAACCTGTACATTCATGAATATCAAGGTCATGAAAGACAGACAGAATGAGAAGACTAAAGTGATGTGACAACTAAATGCCACATGTCATCTTAGATTGGATCTTCGATCCTTTTTNTATATTCATCTTTTTGAAGATGACTTATAGCTTAAAAAGTGCATCTTAGTTTGACACAAAATAGGATTTTTCTTGACAGACTATGGATAAAAGTTTTTCTTGAAAGTGTAATTCTCAGCAGCTTATTTATCATGATCATTTCACAGTAAACTATTTAAACACAGGAAAACTTCGGATGTTTTCATTCACTAAACAAATCATTTACTGAGCTTGTTATATGCTGATTTTGATCACTAAAACCAACTAGGAAATAGTACATCTTAAAAAAGGCAGATTATCACCTCAAAATTATCTGCAAAAAGAAAATTTGAGAAAAACACTGTCTGCTGTTCTACGGGTTTCAAAAAGCATATTACATAGAAAACACACATGTAAATTATTCTGAGATGGGTTTTCATTGTAAGATAGCAAAAATTTAAAGCTATTTAAGAATCCCTCTGATTAGAACTTCTGCCCACACATTTGAATAAGGAAAAGCAATTATGTGTATTAAATACAAATCCCTAATTTAATAAAATGCACTAATGGAATGTTTTAGTTCATTAGCCACTGCGGTTATTACAGATATAAAGATATTTGAGCTCAGGCTGTCTCCCCTCAACCTAGAACATCCTTTCCTACATTCTCCTCATCAAGTCTTACCACAGTTCAAGATCTAGCTCTACACAGGCTGTCCCAGCTACTCCAGTCAATGTTGACTGTCTCTTCTAGGAGTTATGATCTGTATCAGAGTGATATCTCTGTATTGTTAGTTCCTTTTTCTCTTTTTATTTTTTACTTAAAATTCTTATCTCTCTAGAGAGATAGGAGACTGTAATCAGCTAAGGGTAGAGCTTTATCATATACATTACTCAGCAGAGGTACTTCTACACTGACTTGTTTAGCTCGGGTATAAATACTTACTTAAATGGTGCTTTTTTCCTTGCTGCCACACTCGTTAATAAGGAAGACTGAAACCAACCGCCAAGCTGGTCTTTCCCTTCCAAGTACAAATCTGCTCTTTGGTCAGTACCTCAAAAACAAATATTTTTTAAAAAAGAAAATAAAAACAGGAATTTAAGTTAATTAAAGTAAGAAAACAAAAACAAGTATGCAATGAAGTGTTAAAATCGTAAAAGTAATCACATTACTCATTTCTTGTGTCATGCTCTACCCGATGGCTAGACTGTATCCATTTGAGCTATTACACCCACTGACACTTTATTAATCAAGATAAGATAAACTTTTGAGTATCATCTCCCAAACCACGGCTAACTAAAACACTATCTAAATTAGGGACTGATTCACAACAATTACTAATATTAATATTCCCAGTAAAATCTTTTATGAAAATAGTTTTATTAATTCAACAAATATTCGCTGAGCAACTTTATATGTTAATTAATTTAATTGTCATGATAACTCTACTAAAGGTAGGTATAATTATCCCCATTCTACAAATGAGGAAAGTGAGGCAGAGAGGTTTTAGAACTTGCCCAAGGTCACACAGATAGTGAGCAGTAGACTTGGATTCTGAATCTAGACAATTCTGGAGTGCATGCTCTTAATTAAGAAGTCACACGACTTGAATGCCTGATCTTGATAATCAAACAAACAAAAAAAGGAATGTCTTATAAAGGTCAAATTATTAACTTCCAGTTTGGCAATGACCCAGTCAAAAGGTGGGCGAACAATAAAAAAGCTACGTGAATAATTGTCTCAAACTTGTTGGGACATATATATATAAGCAAATTTGAGAGCTACTTTAGCATTTAACAGTAAACAACAGTTAATTCAACAGTTAATAAAGAGATAAGAGACCATTTGGCAAACCTCATAAGCAACAATCATTTCAGACAAGAATCATGAAGGATGCTTAACTACTAGGTGAAAATTGAGAAAACAGAGTATTTCCACAGTCTTAAAGTATCTGCCTATAAGATTATTAATAACAATTACTAAGGGGCAGTGGGCGGATAACTTTACAATAGAGAAAACTGGCAGACACAATCTTAACCAAGTGATCAAAGTTAATCACCACCAGTAATGGAACAGAAAGAGATCACGTGACTTCTGATATGGTGCACTGATGCTTCTGTGATATTCCTGCCAAAAATGCATAACCTAAATCTAATCATGAGGACACATCACACAAACCCAGACAGATGGACATCTACAGAATAACCTGTACATTCATGAATATCAAGGTCATGAAAGACAGACAGAATGAGAAGGCTAAAGTGATGTGACAACTAAATGCCACATGTCATCTTAGATTGGATCTTCGATCCTTTTTTTTTTCTCTCTTTTTCCATAAAGGATGTTACTGGCTGAAATCTGAATAAGATCTGTAGATAGTTCATGGTATGGTAGCAATGTTGATCCCCTGATTTTGATAACTATAAAAGTTATATAAGAGACTGTCCACGTTTTTAGGAAATATACACTGAAATATTTAGAGATGTATTTAAAGCAAATGAGGTATAGTGTTAACTGTGGGAACTCTAGATAAAAGGCATGTTCTGATTCTTTATACTATTTTGTTACTTTTCAAAATAAAAAGGTTTTCAAAAACAGGAACATGCAGTCTTTGAAGAAGAGTACTTCCATACTTTAAATCTACACTCACAACTCTAAAAAGCCCCTATAATCCTTTTTTATTTATAAAATAATGATTCGTCCTTATGTCCTTGTATTGAAGATTCAGTGTTGTGACCCTCACGTGAGGAAGATTACCTGGGAGGATAAAGGAGACTGATGATGAATAACAGAACACCAGTAGAAACCCTTTTCTGAATGAGTAGATAGTGAAACTGCAAGAAGTATCCCTTTCAGCTCTTTGAAAAGTGCCTACTTCTAGCCTAGTAATCACTGATAGTCAGACTAAAGTTCTGCCTCTGACCCTGCCCTAGAAAAATGTGCTAACAGCCCTATAAAATAAGAGGACACCAGGCCATTAACAATATCACAAAAAAACAGCTAAGACATATTTAGAGTAAGGTCTCAGTGCTGTCTTTCACTTTTTCATATACACTGAATAGTTGGAATTAGGTAAGAAACAAAATATCAACCTGGAAAAGAAAATGTAACTCCAGAAAATTTCTGGAAGCAAGAGCCTTTTAAGATGGTGTGCGAAACCAAAAGGAAAAAGGTGGGGAGAGGGGCAGTTTTAGGGTAGCAATATTTATTCTCAAATACACTGGGATAAACTTATTAAATAATAATTCTGAAAATTACAACACACAAAAATATAAAAATTAATATATAACTTATGTTTGGCCATTATGAATTATGCACATTTTAGCTGCAACAGACAGTAAACATGAATTTATGTACATTTTGTTTTTCAAATTTCCTAAGCTGAAAGAAAGGCCAAAACGAAGGAAATACATTTACCTACTAGGAATCACACTGCTGCCCTCTCAGTAGTGAGGCCTCAGTCCCGGAAGCACACGTCAAGTTAAAACCTGAGGGCACTCCCTTTCAATCCCTTCACAATGACTGGCTGCATAGACAAGATATTTTCCCCACATTCGTGTGCTCCAGAAAGCAAACAGCATCTCTTGGGACAAAGTAAGTACTTAGTAGGAGTGTGAAGAACATCACTGCTTCCCTGACCCCTCATCCCTGTCTTTCACTTCAGTGATGACAAGCCTTGCTCTTCATTTTACTTATTATCCTTAAGGATATTTCCTCTCAAGCATCTAAACACACCCTTGAATATGTGCTTTCCCCTACTACTCCCTTTTAATTCCTGCCCAATGTCTCTCTCTTCTCTTTATCCAATGAATCAGAAACATACCCTACCTATGAACAAGCACAGAGAGGGGAAAGAGCCATGAAAAGGCAATGTGGTATAGAAGAATGATAACTGAAAACCAGACACTAGTTATAGTCTGACACTGTTACGCTATGTGACCATCACCTAATTTGGCTCTAATTTAATCTCATTTTCTCTTCTGAAAAATGATGGACTCAGAATATTTTAGTGGTTTCCAAGCTTTGTTTTACAGAACTGGGTGCCTTGGGGTTGCCAAGTAGGCCTAGGAGAATAAGCTGGTTGAAAGAAAGGCAAAAATTTCCATTTTCTATGTAATGAATTGTAGTTGTAGATAAAATTGCATCTTGAAAAACAAAAGCTTGGAAATCATTAGAATCATCAGATTAAATGATCTCCTAGGGTCCTTCCAGGTCTAAAATTTTAGCAGATCTTCTTCCAAATAAAGCACTCGCACAAAAAAATTTTTGATTATAGAACTCTTCTAAGTAACATTCCTATATTTTCAAAATATCTTGATTGGCACAGAATCTATTTTTAGAAATTACCTGGAAGAACACAAGACCACGAAGTTCCACTATCAAACCAAATGTCTAAAATATCCTGACCTGGCACATATTCCAAGGCATCAGGACCACCAACCTAATAAGATAACGTAAAAGCATTTTAATTACATGAAGATCATAATATATACAATAATTACTCAAAAAGTCTTAAGAAAATGAAATACATACAAACCATTAAATTCACATTTTTAGATATTTTAAACATTTTTAAGCATTTCACAGTTAAGTACAACTCCCTCCATCTGCATGTAAAAGTGACTGTGGCCACTTAATTACACACAAACCAATGTGTCTCTTGAAATTAACTTCAAATTTGGATTTTTTGATGTGTGATGCAATCGGTTAACTCCAGATGCTACAAAGTCCTGATGTAGCCGTGTTAGGCACTGTTCTCTCGCAGTCCCAATTACATACGCTTAGTCAACCAAAGCAGTCAAAACCGGACTTGGCCCTCGACAAGATAACAGATGAGCCTCCCATCCCACTGCTATATTAAACATGACCTTTCTATGGCCACTTTCACACTGCATTAGCTTCTAACTTACAGTAAATAAATTCATTAACTTTACATGATAACACAACCACTTTTTAACTCCCAAGAAACTGTCTTGTTGTCATTAAGTCATGTAATACAAAGTCTGTTAAATATAAATAGAAATTTACCTGAGATAAGACTTCTTTTGGAAGAAGTTGCTCAGGGGGAAGAGTCCACCAAATATCACTGCCATGTTTTTCCACTAGTTTAGTAATATGCTCAATGGTTTGGCTATTTTAGGGGGAAAAAGGCAGAACTATTCAATTAACTATTATCATGAATAATAAATACTTTAAATTAAGAAATAGTGATATTCTTTCCTATCTTTTTCCTCAAATTTCAGTGGTACATTTTCAATCACCTGCGTGGCTGTTGCTGTCATCTTAATATAAATAAAATCAAACTGATCATACATATCCCTAAAAAAGAAAAAAATCTTCTCCTGACCTCCCTATTTCAGTTACTGATTTCTCTATTTCTATCAGTCTATTTCCTACCCAGGTAACCTACACTCAAAACCTCCGAATTATCTTCCCTCCTCTAATTTCTGCCCATATTAAACCACCATATTCTGTTGGTTCTACCTTCGAAATATTAGTTGTTCCCACTGACACTATATTAGTCCAATCTCACTGCCTCGATGCTAGATTGATACACTGGTCTGACTTCCCCTACTCTCACCCTTTTAATTTACATGATACACTGTGAGATAGATGCATTCCTAAAACTGCTTTTATTGCACTAATTCTCTGTCTGAAAACTTTCAAGGGCTCCATCACTATTTACAGGACTAAGTCCAAATCCATCTGCCTACGAGGCAGTGCCACACTAGAGCATGGACTTTGACAACAGATATCCAGGCTTGTATCATGACTCTGCCACTTTTTATTTATATGACCATGCACAAGTACTAAAACTTTCCTGAGACTTGGCTGTCCCTTCAGTTAAGAATAATCCAATTCATTTGTCAAAAACTACCAAGCACTTCTGATGTCTTGGGCCCAGTTCTAAGCACTTGAGATGCAACAGTTAACAAAACAAACAAGATCCCTGCCCTAATGGAACTTACATTTTAGTGATCCTAGATACTTCCTTCAAAAGGACTACAAACTAAATAAGATCATATATGTAAAACTTAGCATAGTGTCTAACATACAATAGAAAGCCAATAAATGCATATCAAATGAATACTGAAATTGGTCTTATCTTTGGGAAAATATACAGTTATAAATTATTTGAAAATTAAACTCAGGGAGAAATTTATATGGTACTAAAGTTTCTCACAATAACACACTTTTAATTTGCTACAATATTTAATTTACTATTGCACCTTTGTTGATATAAAAACCTCCTCTAGTTGCTTTCTGCTTAGTCACAGTATAATGGACAAGAACTGAACCCTGGCACCAAACAGCTCTGGTTTCATTTCTGCCTCTATAACATACTAGGCGTGTGACTCTGGGCAAGGCACTTAAGAGTTTCTGTATCTTGGTTTTCTCATTTGCAAAATGCAAATAGTAACGGTATCATTAAGGGACTTACTATGAATATTAATTTAGCTAATATATATAAAACACCTAGAACAATGCTTGGCACATTTTAATAAATATTATGTAAGCACTAGCTATTATTCAAACTGATTCTTTGAAGTCAGGTAAATTTAGACAATTTTATGTTAACCAATTGCCAAAACACATATCCATATTAATATTTAAAGATTAAAATACACATACTAAACCCAACTTTTGAATTATCCTCTTTTCTACCACAGACCATTAGTGCAAGAACTAAGAATTAACAGTAGGTCCATGAGAGTCAATGGAAATGGAAAGAGTAGTGGACAGGTGAAAGCATTAAGTTCTTAATCAGCATCTTATTAATCATGACTATATAAGGCAAATCGTTTAACTTCTTTGGGCCTGATAATTCACAAATAAATGAAGTGTTTACAAAAAATTGTGAGAAGCAAAAATCAAATGGGTAATAGAAATTAAATATGCTCCACAAATTGAAATTTGAAATAATTACAAACAGCAAGTATCTCTAAGTTGGTACTCTATGAAGGATAAATTGAAAAAGTGTAATGCTACCAGCATGTACTTTGAAGAACTTGTAAAGAAGAAGAATGTAAAATGAACACAAGTCCATATTTCTCATTTTAGATGGACTTCAAGAGTAAAGATAAACTTTTGTTATGAAGCCATAAAAGCTTTACACAATAACTAGCTAGTTATGACAATAATATTTAGTCATGCATTACTATTTAATATAGTTTGCACAGAACATTATATCAGTTAATAAAATATGAACATACTATAATAGAAAAGTCTGAATATATCTAATACCTAAAAGAACAAAACCCTAAAGAATAAAAAAGAGAGATACAAGCAAGGTAAATTTAAACATACACATGCCATTACAGTAGATATGCTGTTTATATCAATTATAAAATTTCCACTAAAAAATCATCCTAAAAGTGGTGTCATAAGACACAAAAAAATAATAAAAATGGTGTCATTTTGCCTTTTTTTTTAAAAGACAATGTTATCATTAGATTGACAAGTTTAGGTAAACAGAAAAATAAAACAGCAAAACAGTTTTAAATATATTGGAAATAGATTTTTAAAAAGTACAGAAGTAAAAGTAAATGGTTTGATTTTTATATTAATTTACCAGATAAGGTAGANATTATCCTCTTTTCTACCACAGACCATTAGTGCAAGAACTAAGAATTAACAGTAGGTCCATGAGAGTCAATGGAAATGGAAAGAGTAGTGGACAGGTGAAAGCATTAAGTTCTTAATCAGCATCTTATTAATCATGACTATATAAGGCAAATCGTTTAACTTCTTTGGGCCTGATAATTCACAAATAAATGAAGTGTTTACAAAAAATTGTGAGAAGCAAAAATCAAATGGGTAATAGAAATTAAATATGCTCCACAAATTGAAATTTGAAATAATTACAAACAGCAAGTATCTCTAAGTTGGTACTCTATGAAGGATAAATTGAAAAAGTGTAATGCTACCAGCATGTACTTTGAAGAACTTGTAAATAAGAATAATGTAAAATGAACACAAGTCCATATTTCTCATTTTAGATGGATTTCAAGAGTAAAGATAAACTTTTGTTATGAAGCCATAAAAGCTTTACACAATAACTAGCTAGTTATGACAATAATATTTAGTCATGCATTACTATTTAATATAGTTTGCACAGAACATTATATCAGTTAATAAAATATGAACATACTATAATAGAAAAGTCTGAATATATCTAATACCTAAAAGAACAAAACCCTAAAGAATAAAAAAGAGAGATACAAGCAAAGTAAATTTAAACATACACATGCAATTACAGTAGATATGCTGTTTATATCAATTATAAAATTTCCACTAAAAAAATCATCCTAAAAGTGGTGTCATAAGACACACAAAAAATAATAAAAATGGTGTCATTTTGCCTTTTTTTAAAAAAAGACAATGTTATCATTAGATTGACAAGTTTAGGTAAACAGAAAAATAAAACAGCAAAACAGTTTTAAATATATTGGAAATAGATTTTTTAAAAGTACAGAAGTAAAAGTAAATGGTTTGATTTTTATATTAATTTACCAGATAAGGTAGAGATGTTAGGATTGGTGTTATTATGAATCAAAAACACTTTTCAAAGTACTTTCCAAGCACTGTCTAGTTAGACTGACAGAAATACATAGCTAATAGTTCTTGACAGATGGCTATTCTGTGCCTTAAGCTCCTTAAATCATGAGGCTAAGCAAGTTAACACAGTTAGAACCAGCCTTGAGACTGTGTCTCCTAAATCATGGCTCAGTGCTGTTTTTACTTTTCTATTCTGTCTCACTAACTCATCTATAAAGATAACCAGTGTAACTGAACTCTCACTCCTGTTCTCTGGAGTTTGCTAAGCAATGGCAAAAAGGCTCTTATTACCCTGGTATAAAGAATACTGTGAATCAGAGATGAAGTCAGGGAACTAGAGAGTCTCAGGAGATTAGTGTGTTGACAGAGCAAGCACCAAGTCCAAAGACCAGACTCCACTTGTNTCTCAGGAGATTAGTGTGTTGACAGAGCAAGCACCAAGTCCAAAGACCAGACTCCACTTGTAACTTATTTGAGAATGACAAGAATAAATCATATGTTTTTTGAAGCTTCAGTTTCTATGAACACTGGGAAAAGCTGTGACAAAGAAGGAAACATGAAAAATTTTATTCTTAAAAAAAAAAAAGTCCTAATAACTAAATAAAAATGAGTAGCCTTAAGGCTATATGATACTTCCATATCCAATTTAGAAGACCAAATTCAACTTTAATGAAGCTAAGTTCTTTTACATATCCTTAAATATCAGATATTCAATGAAGTTTTAAAATTATATTTTAAGTATTATTTAACTATACTCAAGTACCGAGTATATAATAAAAGTACCAAACAATAAAAAAAGATTCCAAGGGCTGGCCTGTGGCTCACTTGGGAGAGTGTGGTGCTGATAACACCAAGGCCACAGG